AGGGCACATGCTTCACATCTCCTCAATGTTTTCCTGTGGAGTTAAACTCCAGCGGAGTCGAAACGCTATCTCAAGACCATGGGGGAATCAACATCCTGCTTGCTGATCCTACTTACGTGATGAAGTAACGGAGAAACCCTTCTGCCTGTGTTGGGGTCCTACTTACGTGATGAAGTAACGGAGAAACACTTCTGCCTGTGTTGGGGTTCAGTTCGCAACGTCTGCAACCCGGAGCGCACCTCCTTGCACGGCTTACAGTAACGTATTGATTGCAAGGGTCTCCATGACAGGAACGAATGTAGCACCGAAGATACTTGCAAATATATAATTTCAGAGAATCGTCTACGGAATGTAGTCTAGCCATATATTGGTGTGCCGAAACGGGGGCCGACGGAAGACGAAGACGAACACAGTATGTCGTTGGTTGCTGCTCCGGCGGATTTTCTTAGCGAACAGGTCCGACAGCTGCTTGAAATCGAAATAACGACCCTTCAGACAGATGCCACCGGGAACGACTAGCAGAGCGAAATGGCTTGACGGTCCTGACAACAGATTGGCGTCTGACATTTTCGATAGTGAAAAGTCATGCATTGTCGGCGACAAGACACCTCGTGCAACTGGCCCACTGGGGTACACGATCGGTGGCGGGAAATGATAAATACTTCGTAAATATCCAAACAAAACAAGAACGAGCAGAAAGATCTCGTCCGCTCGACGTCCGCTTGCTATTGACCGGGAAGACCACACCTGTTCGGGGCCATGTTCAGCTTGGCAGAAATACGATCAATGCCTTACGGGCGTACACGACATGCTAGGCTTTGTGGTATCGGCAGATTGCTTCTGACGCCCAATTCTGGTCCATGCTCGTGTTCTCCCCCGAAGAGAAGATTCGGGGATGGCGGATTCGTGTGGCTAGTGTACACTGAATCACAGATGCCGGTACACGAGCAAGTGAGAGCCCAAACACGGGTGCATCAGTCACGACACGCCGCCGAAGATATCTGACCTCTTGTGACCTTCCAACGCCTCCAAAACGACAGCCACTTCAAGCAATGAGGAAGGACGACCTCTTGCGCCTC